GGCAAAGACTGGTTCATCCCAAAGATCCAGTCCCCCGGCACAAACAGAGTAATGTTGTGTATGCTGTTCAGTGTCAGGAGGGCTGTGATCAGTCTTACATCGGGGAAACTAAACAGCCACTGACCAAAAGGATGGCCCAGCACAGAAGATCAACATCATCAGGCCAGGACTCTGAGGTCTACACTCATCTCCAGGCCAGCGGTCACTCTTTCAAGGATGAAGATGTTCACATCCTGGATAGAGAGGAACGATGGTTTGAGAGAAGAGTAAAGGAGGCCATCTTTGTGAAAAGAAATCGTCCATCGTTAAACAGGGGTGGAGCCTCCGGGTTCAACTGTCCCCCTCTTACAATGCTGTGATTGCTAGTATCACTCAGCCCTCTGTGAACAGTAAACAGCCATCAGTGTGCTAACGATCCATTGTTAGGCTGATGGTCCTTCTTGAGCATGTGATCAGCTGGTTTTGGTTGTCAGCAGCAAAACTGGTTGATCCACCCTGAGACGGTGCTATTTAAGAGACTGCGCTGAAAACAGCTCCTCAGACTGAGGAAGTCTCTCGGATGAGAGACAAAACGTTTCTACATTTTTTGTTGTTTTGCTTTTTTTTTTTTTTTTTTTTGAATGTCCAGAGGACCAGATTTAACTTTTTCAGACTTAACTTTATTTCTCCACAAGGAAGTCGATCAGAGCTGTCTGCAACAGTTAAGATGTTTATCGTTTATAGTCTTTCCACTGAACTCTTTTAAATGATCTGAACTATCCCTTTAACCTCTTTTACCCGGATAAACAACAAGAAGAAAAACATCTTGATTATAAGACGTAGTGGACACAGAGTGCTCTGTTAATAAGAGCCACACAGCTCTGGCTGTTTGCTGGGAGGTGGTAAACAGATCCAGATCCCTCACAGGTCCTGGACTGAGGCCAGCAGGGTCAGAGATCCTCTTCCACCCCCCCCCCCCCCTCTGCCAACAAACTTACAACATTTCCAGCACTGAACAAATACTAGAATATAATATGCTTCACCAAGAGGACTTTCAAGCTGCTGAATTCCAACTCTGAAACGTGTGACCCAAGTTTTGCAGACTTCTGTCCTCTTTGACGTTCACGTTTTGTTTTTTTCATCTCCTGCGTTTTTTCTAACTTCAGTGGCTTTCACCATGCTGAAGTGTCAGAAGAAAGCCTCTTTAAGCGGGAGCACATTTTTGGACTGTGGTTCCACGGAGGAGCAGGAGCCTCCACCTCCGCTCCGCAGCTACCTGTGGTTGGCCATGCTGGCGTGTTTTTGTCCTGCATGTCCTGTCAACATCGTGGCGCTGGTCTTCTCTGTCATGGCAAGTTTCTTCTTTTAACTGCATTTTATTAATATATATATATATATATATATAATTATTATTTTTAAAGAAAATACAGAGTTGTTGCTCCAGAGATTTTAAATGTTTCAGTGAGCTCTAACACTAAGATGTAACCCCACCACCACCACCACCACCACCACCACCACCACCACCACCACCACCACCACACCTGCTCTGCCCATCAAACTCATCTGTATTCATTCCTCATCTTCTGTTTCAGAAAGGAGACAGTTCTTTATCTGATGAATATTAAATTTAAGTCAGCCAAACTACAAAATTATGTTTATCAACAGTTTAAGGTGTGAAATAATCAACTAAGAGTTACATTTTCATGTAATAAAATCACTTAATTCAGGTTTTTAACTAATTTAATGCTTCAGCTGGGCATTCAGCAGAGAAATGATGTAATGTCTTGAAGAGGTGTTTTATCGTGACCTCTTTTTATTTTCACAGTCTAGAAAGAGTTACTACCAAGGTGACTATGATGGTTCCAGGCGACTGGGCAGGAACGCCTTCTATGTCGCTGTTGCTTCAATCATCATCGGCCTCCTCGTCATCGCCATCACCTGCATCGTCCATTTTACCACAGTACGTCTGACCGCTCCGTTTGTTTACTAGAACTACGTGTTTCATGTCCTGCATTGCAGTTGATTTGACAATAAAAGTTGTTGTTTTTTTTTTAACTTTAAACAATGAAACAATAAACTATGAGAATTGGACTTTTCTGAAGTGGGGTTCTGTGGAGAGGTTATAAACAGTTAACATGTTACCTGGTGCTCTTGGAGTAACTTAGAGCGGTCATTTACAACCTGAACCCGGAGCCCGGCCCAACCCGTATTAGGGCCGGGCCATAATAATGTGCTTAATGTGCGGGCCGGTGTCAGGTTTTTGATTGCATCAGCGGACGCGCGCGGCTGACAATCAAATTATATGGCAATATGGCTTGCCATACAATCACCAGCCCCACGTAGCAATTTGACCGCGCGCTGACAGGTAATGGACGTTCATTCGGCCGCTGCACTCAGCAGACACGCGCGGCTGACAACACAAACAGATGAGATCCCAAAATATCCTGCAGTCATGTCAGAGCAGGGTCCATGTCTGAATAATGCAGAATGCAGGCAGAAGCAGGGATTCAATGCGCTTTGACAGCCATGAAAGGACAAACACCCCATCAGCGCCGATCTTCTGTCCATCCACCGACCGTTAATAACTGTTAATAACTGTACAAGCAGTCAAAGCCTAATTATTTTATTTTTTATTTTTTTCCGGGTTCCGACCTGTAATTACTGTTAATTCGTCGGGCGGGTTGCGTCAGGTTCGGAAATGATGGCTACGGGCTTTGGGCCCAAATGCAACTCAAGAGTAACTTCATTTTGAGGAAACAAAGATTAATTTGGACCAGACTGACAAGTTAAAGCTGAGCAGGTTCAGTCTCTAAACTAAAACTTTTTTATACTGTATGTGTATTTTTTAATTCTACATAGATTTCTTTAGTTATTGAAGCTCGGGTCGACTCGGGTCCATTTTCATTTACAGTTTCATCTAAAACATGTATCACATTATGTGTGGCATCTAATGCAAAATAAATTCAGTTTAATTCCTTTTTGAAATATTTGTGTCACATGAAAAATAAATTCATTGTAAATAAAGATATAATTGTACATTGGTATAGGACTTTGAAATTGTGTCCGCTAACACGAGTTTTTAAACCGAAGTTGTTTTAGTCCACCCTGGTCTCTGCTGCATTCAAATTAACTCAATTTCTTCAAACTGAGGTCGTTCAAAGAGTTATGTACTGCATGTAAGACACTTATAACCTGTCCACAAACTGCTTTAAAAACTAAATACCTTTCAGTTGTAACGTGTTTCCATTATTACAGACACATACTTTTACTTGAGACCTGAACAAGAAAGCAAATATAAGCTGTAGGACATATTTAAACTGCAAGACATATTTTATATAGTTCTCTCTTTATGGCAGATGGAATAATAACACGGTGGGAAGGAAGACGAGGGGAGAACAAACATGAAACACTTGGTTTGTACTCTAGACTGCCTCAGGTGATTGAACCACCACCGTCCACCTTTTGATGGATTTGATCTTAAACTAAAATGTAGCTTTTTAGAAACATGAAGAAAACCCACAAGTTTTCTTGTGGGATCGGAGAAAAATGTCTGATTCCTGCTTTCTGCTCTGTTTTCTCCTAGTAATGTTTTTGACCCAAGGGCAGCAGGAGGGTTAACGACAGGCCTTCGCGTCAGCAGATAAAGAGCTGAGCTGCACCACGAGTCTTCGTTGGACCGCTGAACGCCACATGGTGATGTTGATGGTACAACTCCCAGACAAACCTCCTGAGATTACTGTAGAAAATAACTTTTACTGACCTGTGTTCTGTTGTAGAACCTTTGTGTTGTCCTGGAGCATACTCACCGAGGATCTACAAACTCCCTCCTGAGAACCATTTCCAGAACATTTCAGCGCAGTCTGTCTCCACCTGCCTGCTCTCAGTACTCGGCCTGTATCTGAAAGAACTTACCTGGAATATGAAAACTGTCGCTTTCACATCTTCACTCCTGGAATCCTGACTCTCCTTTCAGAACCAACAAACACAAACTATATATATTTTTTAAATAAAATACTTCCCCACCAACTTCTTACCTGGGCAGCTCTAACCATCTTCTGTTCCCTTCCTGCAGAGGAGTACTTCCCCTCTCCTCATTTCCCTTCCCCTTCAAAATAAAAGCACCTTAAAAAAAAAGTTTTTTAAACTTGTGAATGTCTTCGGCTCTGTATTCTGAACACTGGGACAAAAAAGTTTTTCAATTATGACAAAAAGGACCAAATTAAATCAGTTTTTCAAACATGAAGGAGTTCTATTGCTTTTCTAAAAAAACAAACAACAACAAACAAACAAAACAACTCTATGATGCTGTGCTGTTCCACTTTTCTATTTAGTTAGTAAGTTTAATTGTGGACTTCCATTTCTAAACGATAGTTTGCCAAAGCTCATTTCAAATGGCAGTTGAGCTGAGAATGAACCTCATCTGCCACAGTTTTAAGGAACATTTTACTGCAACATTTGGTATGGTGGTAGCTGGGAGTGATCCCTAACACATGGTGATGTCAAATCCAAATGTTCAATGTGGTACTCCTCTTCAAAGTTTCTCCAGGAATCTTTCTAGTGTGCATTTATTGTTTTACGGTCGTTTTCCAACCAATTCCCTGTCACAGATGTAGCTACGTGTTGTGTTTAAATGCGCTGTTACTGAGAACAGGTGAGTAAAAGTCCAGTTTTTATCCCGTTTATTTATTTTTTTATGGGGTCCTAGCCTGCGAAGGCAAGGATTTCCCTAACTTTTCTTTAGAACTCATTTAGTATCTAGTAGATTAGTATCTAGTACATTTCAATCATCCTTTCTTCAAGGAGGTGAACACGTTTTTTTATTAATACTGTAAATTTTAAAATCATATAAACGGAACAGCAAACTTTCGTCCCGTTCAGCAGCCTTAAACTCAGCTTTGCAGCTGCAGAGCACCACTGAAATTAAAGCAGATGCTAAAACATCCAGACAAGACTGTAGTTTATATCAAAGTGTTTCTGTAACCTGCAGTTTTTGCGAGCGTAAATAAGAAGCAGTGGTTTCTGGTTGAGGTCTAACTGACTGAGGGAGATACCTGCGTGAAGGTTTGATACAACTGTGAATTGGAGCTGACTTCAAAAGGGCTGAGGATTAAACTTTTTTTTTTTTTTTTTTTTAACCAGAGCGGAGGAGTGGAGCTGTGCAGCTGCACTAATCTCACGTTCATCAAACAGCCACTGGAACAAAACCTTTGGTGTTTCCTCACCACAAAGCCACTGTCAGGAAGTTCACCGATGAATATTTCAGCACCTTCTTTTTTTATTTCAAAGCTGAAGTTTGGAAATAAAGGAATATTAAGGATTATTGCAATTCTTCAACTTCTCGTCCCATAAAGCTTAAACTGGTGAGGAACTCGGACAACAGTTCAGTCGCTCCCATCTCAACCAAGCTTGTAACTCCTTCCGAGTGCTCACAGGTGACCATGGTCTCTCTCACTCTATCCATGCCCTGATTTATATTTTTCAATAATCTCTGAGTTAAATTAAGAGAATCACTGAATTTATAAGACTGAGTTTGCTGTGGCTCTTCAGACTGATGAAGTCTTTTGGATGAAAAACGTTTCAACAAAAAAAGAAACCGTCCAGAGGACCTGACTTAACTTTGTTGGAGAATCACTGAATATTTATTTAATCACAGATTTTTATTTAATTGGTATTACACTGTAAAAATCTGATTTCACTTTGTCGTTGAACGTTATTTTTTTATTTGGTTTTATTTTTTGTAAAAGCCAATTTACATTGACCACTATTGCTTTATGGCAGCAATAAAAGCATCAAACAGCCAAGAGGATGGATACTTTTCTTATACATGAGTGAGAGTCACTTTAACAATCTGAACGAAGTCTGAAAACAGAGATATCTGACACCTTTGAAGTGCCTAAAAGTACTTATTTCCTTGATTTTTACGGTTCTATTGCCAGAAACCCTTTGATCCTGAGTGCTGGGGTCAGATCATCTGCTGCTCACAGTAACAGATTGTTTTACTCGGAGGTCTTGCAGTAGTAGCGCCCTGCTGTGCATCAAGCATGTGTTCAAAAGTGAACAGAAAAAGCAAAAATATCTTTAAAGCATGTTGTCGTTCTGGTTTTCAGGTTAATTTGACTGTTATAATTTCAGCATTTACAAAGTCTTGTCTTCTGAAGGTACAGTTAATGTCTTTCTCCTGCAGCCTGGTTTGGTCTAACCACAGTGAGAATTTAAATTATATCAGACTTTAAGTTTTCTGCTCGTCTCCTTAGAAAATGTATGAACAATAAATATATTATCCGTTGTAGATAGCTCTTTGAACAGCATTAATTTGGAGAAACAGCCTCATTGTGGTCCGTGCAAATGCTATTTCATCATTTTTTATATTGTCACATGATTGACATGAAATTCTTTGGTTTTCTGTGCGTTTTAATAACAGCAGAACAGGTTTGAGCCGTCGCTTTGAGCAGGAATTTTATTTTATTTTTCTCATAGTTGTGAGGTTTTGTGTAATTTTTCATTTCTTTGTTTTCTGAATATTTTTCAGGTTATGTTTTTCATGTTTTAGTGTTGGTGTTTATAGGGTTAAGGTTAACTTTGACACATCCCAACGCTTTTTAAAATTGTTATTTATGACTGGATAGATAAAAGGAAATAATTATTAAGTACCGCAGGGCCACTGTCCTGCATGTTTTAAATGCCTCCCTGCTCCAACACGCCTGACTCAATGGTTGAATCACCTCTTCATATTCGGCAGAAGCCTGTTTACTCACCATTGATTCATATGAGAAACCGTTAAAACATAGTGGCCCTCGAGGACCAAGACTGGACACCCTGAAACATTTTGACAATTGGACGAACATCAAATTCCATCTAATTCAACATTCTTATCAAATTTTTAGACAAAATTTTGAAATATGCTATTTATCTTTCAACAAATGTCATATATTATTTTTGAAGCTGAAAATCCTTTTACAATTTTCAGTTTTTCTTCCTACACTGTTCTTACACACTGAAAACAACTTTCAGCTTTTTATTTTTTGGGCATGTGTAGTGAACTAGACCTCCGACATCAATCTGTCTCTGAAGACCTTCAGGGGACAGGAACTGTTATTTCATTGATTTGAATCCAGAAATACAAATGATCTCATCAAGAGACTATTTAATTGTATCCTGAATTAATCAATTGAAAGAACACTCTTCTTTTTTTATATTATTATTATTACTATTTTACAATATCTTGATAATCAAAAGTGTGTTTAGTTCATACCATTTCTAAATGTTGAAGTAAACCACTCATTTAAAATCAACTGTGAAACAGTATTAATGATTTTTAAACCTCATTAGACTTAGATCATACAAGTTAAACATCTATTTACGAAGTAATTGTGCATTTTAATCTTCTGTCTGAATGAGGAGTGGATTTGACGTCGGTCAAAAGTCAGAGACAAGTTATGAGAACGAAGTGCCTTGTTTTAAAACTCTCAGACAGTAAATAAGAACTGGCACCTGCGAGTCTCACTTCTTCAAAATATTTTCCTGTCTGTACTAACCGTTCTTAAAAACATTTCTGCTGCCTGTTGACTTCTAATAACCCTCTGACATCACTAAAACTCCACCCCTGCTGGTTGTGCTAACCAATCAGGAAGTACCAAGTGACAGGAAGTGGATACCCTTTAAAAGTCAACACTTCTTGGAACTATTCAGTCTTCCTGGAACTTTAAGTCTAGGATGAGACTCAGTCTTACTGGAAGACTCAGTCTTACGGTGAGCTGATGGAATGGGACCATGTGCCAAGGGTCCGTCCATTTCAGCGGAGTCACAGCACGCCTCGCTGTGAACTCACCCGGGCGTAACGCCCTACAACTTCTAATGAAGATTCCTTCTAAGGAAGCTTATTCTGTTGAACGGAGTACTTCGTCACAACTTCTGACGATTCCCAGCCACTCTGACCGGAGACGCTGAAAAGGGAGCGTGAAATGGACCTCTGTACCGGAGCTGATTTATCTTCTGCAAAGGTAGAGAGTCGTCACCCTGAGTGTACCGAGGGCTGAGCTGGGGTCGGAGGAAGGGTGCCATTCCGGGTCAACACATTTTCCTTCCTCCATTTAAATCTCCTCTTTAAATCTGAAACTTCTTTATTCCTTCTCTGTAAACCTCAGCGCCAGTAAATCAAGCTAGGTGCCTTCAGAGATGAATTATTCTCCATCAGTAATCGGCTGTTGTCTTGTTATTTGAACTTGTTTATTAATCAGAAACAGATCAGCAAATCAAGTGTACATGTTTGATGTAAAATTTTGATTCTGTTAAATAAATGACCGCATTTATTCTGATGGGTCAAAGATAAATTACGTCTCATGTCACTAATCATACACTCCACTCTCAAGTTATCTCGGTCACATGGCAGAAATTTAACTCGAAAAAGAAAGAATCCGTTGTTAATTAAACAATTAATATTCTTTGTGCTTGAACTAGCCATAAGAATAATTAATTAGTAGTGTGTCCACAGCAAAGCTGTCCCGACATACTACACATGTAATGAAATGACTGTAACATGTTACAGAGTTTGTCCTGCACCTATATGCATCCTGTAAAGATGTTTGCAGCGCAGAGATGCCATGGCATCTCACAAAGCTGCTCCAAATGTTTTACTGTAAAGATCATATTACATGTGCTGAGGGCTGCAGTCAGTCGGATTCCCAAACCCAGCAGCATTAAACCACGTCAGCTGTGTTTATAAGGAACGTTTAATGGACTATATTCTGTCTAAATGACTTTCACGAGCCTTGAAATACAAACTGAAACTAGGGACACGTCCTTGTTGTCTCACATGTCCTGCAACATGGGTTAAATAAATCAACTTTTAGGGACAAACTTCCTGCTCTGTCACATGGTCAAATAAAACAGCGGCGATGCGACTCAGTAAGCTGCAAGAAAGGTCCGAAAAGGTGGGAGGAAATAAAGTGACGATTCAGGGAGTCATGATCCCGAGTCCATTTTAGGCTCAACTCTTGACACATCTCAGTTTTCTTGTTGGCGCTATTTAAAAACAGCCCATTCCACCTGTTTTCAGACATTTCAGTGCTCTGACGATGAGCCTCGTGGACTCTGATGACACTAATTACACCTACATAACA